GCCAGCCCCGGAGCTGGGGAAGCTCTGGAGGTGACAGGAGACACCCAGAGCTGGCACCGCTCCGGAGAGCTCAGCTGCTCCCTCAGGTCCCTTCCTCCTCCTCCTCCTCCTCCTCACAAAATCAGGGATGTGTAACCAACGGGAACGAGGCCGGTGCTGTTGCCATGGCAGCAGCGGATCCAGTCTTCATCCACGGTGGAGAGAAGCTCCAGGATGTCCCCTTTGTGGAAGCTCAGGTGCCCATCAGCCGTGCCCGTGTGGTCACACAGTGCCCGGACTGCCCTGCGTCAAAAATGTCACCCCTGCACCAAAAATGTCACCCCCTGCACCACCAGTGTCATCCCTGTGTCAAAAATGTCACCTCTGTGCCACCAATGTCACCCCTTGCACCACCAGGGTCACCCCCTGCACCACCAATGTCACCCCCTGTGCCACCAATGACACCCCTGAGCCACCAATGTCACCCCCTATGCTACCAGTGTCACCCCTGTGTCACAAATGTCACCCCTGTGCTACCAGTGCCAACCCCCCACACCAAAAATGTCACCCCTGCGCCACAAATGTCACCTCTATGGCACCAATGTCCCCCAAGGGTGTGGGGACATCAGAGATGGCCCAGAGGGTGTGGGGACATTGGGGTCAGCGAGGATGGGGAAGAGGGAAGCACCAAACACTGTTTGGGATGGCCACAAACCCACCCTGCCCACTTGGACAGAGCTGCTCCAACAGCTGCCACATGCTTGCCCCACACAAGCTGCCACGAATCCACAAAGCACACAAGAAAATGCCAAAAATTGTCCCCAAAACGTTTTGGAAAAGCAGCTGAGCCCAGCAGGGGAAGGGGATCCTTGGGGGTGCAGTTGTGGCTTTCCCTTTAGGGGTGTGTGCGACCCCCTGAAAGCAGCCCCGGCTTTCCCCCAGCCAGAAAAGCCCTCTGAAAGCAGCCCTGCCCTCTCCCAGCCCATCCCAACCCATTGATCCCATCCCACCCCATCCCATCCCATTGATCCCATCAATCCCATCCCATCCCAGCTCTGCCCAGTCCCTGCCCTGTCGATCCCAGCCCTGCCCATCCCATCGATCCCATCAATCCCATCCCAGCCCACTGATCCCATCAATCCCATCCCATTGATCCCATCAATCCCATCCCATTGATCCCACCAATCCCATCCCATCCCACCCAACTGATCCCATCCCATCCCATTGATCCCATCCCATCCCATTCCATCAATCCCATCCCATCCCAGCCCATTGATCCCATCCCATTCCATCAATCCCATCCCATCCCAGCCCATTGATCCCATCAATCCCATCCCATTGATCCCATCAATCCCATTCCAACCTATCCCTGCCCATCCCATCCCAGCCCATCCCATTGATCCCATCCCATCCCACTGATCCCATCCCATCCCAT